TGAAGTGACTTACCCTTTGGAGGTCATACCAGACTTTTTATTCCTTTCGGTCAAAAGAAATTCCGAAACTGAAGAAGCATTAAAAGATTTACATATATTTGCCAAGGTGTTCCTCTACTCGGAGGAAACCGTGAGGTATTTGTTACCATAATAATTAAAGAAAACGTTTACTTTTGCGAAGTCCTGATTTTTTATTCTGTTTTTAGTGTCCAAAAACGATGTTATAATGTGTGCTTTATTAGAGTCTACTTCACGTACTTTGTTTTGTAGAGTGCCTTCTTGTATCTCGCACTGGATTCCACCTTTCAATGCCTTTGCGCTCAGAGTGCAAAGACTGTTTATTAGCTGGCCGCTTAACGTTATATTCATTAATATCTCCGCTGGGCACGCAATTACTTTTGCGGAAGCGTGACTTTTTTGAGATGAGTATGTTTGGCATGTACAACGCCATTTTCTTAATCGAATTTAAAACTCGGCTAATTCCATCATATCAGATCAGATCAGATCATATTTTGGAAGAATGTCTCTGAAATTATTTCGAGGCAATACATATCCGATTTGGAAAATATGTTGGACTCTTAAGAGTCGAGATTATTATGGGAATTTTCAACGACTGTTAGCAGTTTGCCTGTTCGGGAATGAATGTACGCACAAAGGTTTTCTTAACCATACATGACTTTAAGATTTTCTCGTCGAATATGGATGTAACACTTGCTAATACGAAATATGAAAAAGAAACCGTGCAGAAGCAACAATAATCAAGGCGAGTAAAGCGCAAAAACGGTACATTCTGATTTAGAATTGATCCCAATCTCCATTGCTCATTGTGATCGTATGTGTGATTCATGTGCATCGTTAGCAGATGAAAAATCATTACTCACAAAGTACTTGTTTAACTTGCAACACTTAGCAAATCATAAGAGCAATTCATGTGCCTTTAGAAATGCGTATGAAAGACTGACATAAAATTTTACTGGATCGATGAGGAAGGTTTGACTATTAATGCCGTCTGCGTTTGTTTTACCCAATTTCGTTTAATACAATCGTCATTTCGTGGAACATCGTGAACAGTAAAGCCGTCTATACTTATTCGCGTCGCTCAAAGCGTAGTGCTGCATTATTGAACAGGAAATTAAAGGGAATTCATAAATAACAAGTCCTTTGTGGATATATGCACACTTACACTAAATTCAAACCAGGTATATAACTGACACATAAGCTTTTTTTCCCAGAAATCTTGTTAGACTTTCTTTGCCAAGTCCGGACAACAATGTCCTACAGTTTCCAACACGGAACCTTAAAGCATATGGTTTAATTTAAGCAAAGCAAACGCACATGGTTGACCTCCCGGATATCCAGGCAGCATTCTAATATGAAAACAATGCTCCATATCTGTTGATAATTGACAAGTGCCATATCGTTGTAACCGAAAACACTCCGTTAAACATGACTGCTGAACACTTTCGTGTAACACTGCGTCTTGTGTGGCTGAAGTAACTAGCTGCAGTCAGCGCGTCTGCAATGCCTGTCCATTTGACCTATGTCTCATTCTGGCTACCGCCAATGTACCCCATCAGAGTAGAATAGTAAAAACTCTAGTCTGATGATTTGTGGTAATGAGCTGCAATCACAGAAAATAAACAGGTTATGAGATATTTTGTTGGTTTAGATATTCAGAATGCCTGCTTGCGTTTTGGAAATCCCAGTAGTTTATCCTTGTACCGTTTGGTTACAATTTTGGCTTTTCTGCTTAGTGAAACTGTTGTCTGCGAGGTCTTTAAAACGGAATGGTCCTATTGACGCCGTTTCTTGTTTATTTTATTCCATGAGAGAAATCGTCTGCTTTCCACAAGCTAAATTCCTAGTGGTTCTCCGCGATTTGTCATACTCTTCCTCCATTGCATGAATAATATGTGCTTTCCAGAAAACTCTCAAGGGGATTTTAATATCGATGCGCAGCTGATAATGTTATTGTAGTCAGGCAATAACTCGGGAATATGTTCTATTGGGCGATCGGGAAATAAGGGTCCAGAAAGTTTTCGATACCTCGTTTCAGACGTTTAATCGTCAGAAGACAACACTCCATTAGTTTCCACAAAAAAGTGCCACCAGGCAGTTGATGATCGAATTCTGGTTGTCTGGGTTGTCTGTCGAACTGCCCTTGCCTAGTTTGATGTTTTGGTCCCTTACATATGTCGAATCTGCTTCTACTTGGGCCTCTGCCCCAGGCTTTATCGATTACATACTTTTAAAGCATGCCATTTTAAGGCAGATTCTTTTTATTAGGGTCGACGATGCAAAAAAAATGCACTATGCATTTCCATTGGAAACATCAAAGAACAGTGATATGTTCAACTATCTGAACGATTGCTGCGAATTTCTGAGTAAGTCTTGCCGAGGTAGAACATCGTTGCTTTTAAATTTCTCTGGCAATTAACAGCTAACTTGGAGTAAATCAGTGTGAACAAAGGTCTATAGGCGCAGACCAAAATTTTAATGTGGATATCTGGGCCGAAGTCGATAAGCCACATTGGGATGGCCGTTTTGCTGCCAGTATGATATCCTGTAACCCCAGCATATGCTACTTACTGCCTGTTGACAGTTAAATGAGTAGAAGGCTGGTGTACTTCGGCCCAAATATCCATACAAAATTTTGGTCCGCACCTAAGGACTTTAATTTAGACCGATGTGCTCTAAGTTTACGGCTAATTTCTGAGGAAACTAAAAAGCAACAATTTCCAGACCAGAGTATCCACCAGAAAGCACACGAGGAATGCTGGAAGAACCCACTGATGAGCCGAGTCCTCCGTGGCTGTGCCATTCAGCGATAGAGTATCAACAAAATACGTGTCTGGGCTTTTAGCTAGTGCCTGTGCCAGTATGGTATCCTGTAGCCCCAGCAGAACACCGTATTACATCGAGCTCTCACAATCCAAGAATACTGCAGGCGAGCATTGGAGCTGACAACGTCCAACGCTGGACACTGGACTGTCAGCTTAGACGCCCTGTCTAAGACCTCTTATATTTATGACGTTCCATCCCCTTTGATGTTTTGTCCAATATCACACACGTCACCAGTCACTGATGGTTCCTTGTGCATAAGCCACAAGAACAGTGCATCCCCATATCGAAAGAAGCAATGGTATACTTAACTAGACAGCATTTGTTAGGCAAGAGCGAGCAACCGGTTGATAGCGAACAGAAGCAAGATGTACCATGTAACTAGCGATAGCCCAGGTAACAACGAGATCCAATCAGAGAAGATCGATCATTGATCAGCACAAGTCCTACAAGATGTGACTGAGCTTCGCAATCGCTAGACATGGGTGCGGGAATAGGTGTCTTCCGGAATATAAGCCAGACCCGCATAGTACGGGGGTCCATACTCCCGTGTCCAACCCGAAAATGGAATAACCACTTAGTGGAAATCCGCTCCTTACTGTTAGCACGACCCTCTATTTTGCCTTTAACTTTCCGTCCAGAGGGGGAAACAAGGAAATGACCATCACTTTTAAACTATAGAATCTGCTACACTTCTGACGTCAACATATTGGAGGCATTCCCATCAAGCAACCACTAGGTCTAATTCATAATGCAGCTCATCACAGCCAGGATATGATAAGCTCATGTATTTGGCAAGTCGTAAGCGCATAGTCTGCTATCACCTGCCAATTTATTCCCGTAATGTAAGCCTTGACGGATATTTATCTATTCACAGTTTAAAAGTAGCCTTCATGCGAGTTGGACATGTTGAAAAGATCAAAAGGAAAAAAATGCCCTTTGATACAGGCCATGGGAGCGCAAAGCTCATGCAACCAGAAAATTGACACCCTGTATTTGTACTGAGTAGAATGAGTAGAGCGAATAGTATTCGCACACCGGACTGTCGGTCACCGACAGTTCAGGGGATTAGGGCGCTCTATGCAAATTCGAGGGATCGGCAGCTCCGTCCTTCCCAAAGTGTAAGCTTTTGGGACCGAGTTCCGCGCTACTACAGCCTGCACCTAAAAATAGTTATTACCTCTTAAAATGGCAGGCTGGTGAAATTTATTTACGTTTGCTTGTGTCTATTGTTTGCAGAGATGAATAAAAATCGTGTCCACCGCGTACTCATAGTGGCAGACAAGAATCTCAGTCGTGGCCCGACACTTGCTATGGCCTACCTGATAAAGGAAGGAAATATGACGTTAAAGGTTAGTAACTTAAGAAGTGGCCATCTTAGCTCTGATTATTCAGTGCTTTTTCGCCAAGCAAGAGTTAACTGAATAAAAAAATCCCCCATAGATAAGTCGTTTTTTAGTTGACAATGTGAAGACTATGTATTTGCCTTTCACTGGAAACTTACGACTGCAAAGTAGTCCTGAAAACGCGGGCATTTTCCGTGGACTACCTATGATGAACAGAAGTGGTGAGATAGCTCTCAGTCATGTAGAAATAGCCCATTTGGTTAATGGACTTGAACTCATCTTGAAAGGGTGTACTGACCTGTCAGGAGTTACCGCGTAATCAAGCTGCACTATTTGCTGGAAAGTCGTGCCTCCCAGATCCAATTACGCGTCCATCTAGGAGTTGTTTTGACTTGTTAAATGATTGGGCCGACCGCAGGAATAAAGACCCCCGATTCAAGTCAATTTCAGGGTTTGGGTTGATGTTTGAATTAAAGGTAGGACACGGGAATGGGTATCCTCTCCCCGAATGTGGCGCAAAGCCACTTGCGGTGGCGGGAAGTCCATATCCCCCTGGCCCACCAATGATCATATAGTCTCTAAAACGGGTAAATGTTTTCAAACACAGCGTCTGCTAAAATTACGAATGGCACATGCCAATGCTGTTCGTGGAGCCGAGAACATAGTATTTTTCGCTCTCGAAAATTTTTCTAGTCATGAGGTTTGTTAAGACCGTGAAATATCATCCCGTAAAGCACCGTACCGTCCATTTATTAATGCTGCTTGTAAGGCATAAGACATTGTCCATATCTGCTGAAAAATTTTACGAGCCCTATATGACATCCTAATAGCATATAAGTGTGTGCTCTTTCTAACAGGGTAGATATATAATTTGTAGTCTCGAAACCCTGAACACAAGTGCGATTTCAGATTAAGCTCAAAATTATACCGGAATCAAGGTTTTTTAAAGCCGAAGGATATGTTTTCTTCGGGCATAAAAGTTGAAGAAGACGTAATTTGCCACCAATTGACCATCAGAGGGGATATTTTTTGCGCACGTTTTCTACAAAATACTTTTTAATGCAGAAGTACGCTGAAAATCAATGGCAGAAATTCATATTACTTAAGGAGCCATTTTTACAGAGCGCCATTTTTGCAAGCGGCAGTAAGGAAGCTCGTTCTAGTCGAAGAAACATTTCACAATTTCGGTCAGCACCGCATGTGATGGCACATCTACCGTATAAACACCCTCGAGACCTCCAGACGTACATCCGGCAACTTCCATTGTGTATCTTAGGGAACTGGTTGCAGCCTCCCTTATGAATGACGTTAGTCCGCGAACGTCTACACAGTGGAAAGCAGCAAAAAATTGTAGGCAGTGCAGTAAATGCTATCGTTTTTAGTTGGATACTAAGGCGATTCCAAAATGCGTAGTATGGCCTAGCGAAAATTCAGTTGGATTTCGAAATCCAGACCGTAACTTTTCTGCCAAATTCAGTGATGTGTGAGATTTCACTTATCACGTAAGAGACTGGGTCTACTGTTGCGAAACGGTTGCCATCGACATTGGCCTTAAGTTCTGGGTATTTACAAGTTGACAGTGTTAGAGCCATGATGACCGTTTTCTGGGCGTTGACGGTTAAGTCTAAGGTCAGCGCAGATGGTCTATTTCTCACGAAAAGATCGATTAGGTTGTGATGTCCAATTTGCAGTCGTCCGTATCATAAGAGATAGGTCGCGTGTTTGGGCCTTGTCTGGACGGGGTCCTGTAAATCCTGAGCATAGTTTTTTACTTGGAACTCGTAACACGCGGCTGTTGGACATGTTTACGAAAATTGTTGTCTCTCCCACAAGATATTTATGAACTTCATTCCTGATCTTTGCAGAGCTCGTATTTCATACACTATCCTCTTAGGTGTGTGTATATGTTGCAGGGGCTGTCCACAACTTTGGCGTTTTTTGCAAAACCATTCCTCACACTGAAGCAGCCGATGAATTTGCGTGTTCCTGAGTTTTTCACATCGTCTGGAAACTTGTGTGCTATTTGTAGGAAGCGTGGGCCTACATGAAGAATGTGTACCTGGCCATGCGTCCAAACTGGCACTGTCTCGAGCAGCTGGCCTTGTTCGAGAAGACCGTGAAGGGTCTTCCCGAGGCGACACCAATTGTGGATGAAGACTTCAAGTAGGGGAACGTCCTCATAACTGGATGGATTCGCACGCACCTGCGTCTTTACCCCCTCTTCCCTGACGATAATTTGCACTAAAATTATCGCAAAATATACTTTCCTTATCGGATTTTTTAAGGGAGAGGATCCTGTCGAACATAGTTAAGGAGAATTTGATAGTAAAAAAAACTGCATGGAACCAAAGTCGGTAGACGCTCAGTCCATTAACGCGTCCACAAATCATTGGTAATATGCTCGAATCATATCTGGATCATCTATTTATAGGCGATAATGTCATCTCTTACCCATTGAAGGATCGCGTTCCGAAACATGAACTCAGAAAGCAGGGCCGTAACGATAATTCACACTTTCGACAGCAAAAAACCTGAATGTTCCGTCGGGTGTGTGTGGTTTGCACACATTACACGCGTTTCATAATCGGGCGGATCGGTTATTTCACCTTCCTTTGGTTGTGGTCAGAAATACTGATCAAGTTAGCCATTGTAGGGTGCTCGATAATGGTCCTGTTGGCTACAGTTCTCATGTGGTCGACACGTTTTCAACACGGCTCGGTGTGGTTTATCGTTCTTTTGGTTGCTTTTTTCATTTCACGTCTACCATGGAAGCCAAGTTTACGAAATGTAAATGATGAGCAAAACTACTGAACTACTCAATCTTTGGCATTCGACGCACCTATGAGCTCTTCTGAGCTATTCCATCAAGCGAGGCTGCCATGACCGCCCTGCAGACAATATTTGCCATTTTCAAACATTCACAACGAGGTCCTTTCATAACCTGATTGTTCGCTTTCCCAGCAGATAACGAAGAAGTCGGTGGTCTGTCCGCTCTGCCTGTCCGACTGTGGACATGCTTGGGTGCAGCATTTGTGGCATAAAACCCCAATACAACGCTTTCCACACGGATATGGGTTTTGTTTCGCTCGTCCTGACGACGATAGTCGACTTCACAGTGCTAGTAGTGAGTGGTAGGTGACTTGTTTACTGTCCGGTATCTTGTCTGCACGAAGGGCCAAATGGCACCATGTGGTGATTGAATTTGCAGTGCGTGTGCGGTGGTTAATGTCTCGCTGACGATTGTCGTGCATGCACATATTACTGAATAGGCTGACGTGACGGTTGAATGTGCAGACACAGTATGCACAGATAAGAGTGACTTGGCACTTGTTAGCCGGGACTCCCTACCTTGGCTCTCCACTCAGACTGCGATGGATTCGCCGGTTTCTGATCAGACCGATCCACGCTGAGAATAAGTTGTGATAGCAAGGAGAGGTAAGTGGACACAGATTGTCCTCCCTGTCATGATTGTGTTCTTATTGCGGAGGGTGTCCCGCTGTCTGAACGTGACTGAAACGTGCGATAGAGGTAAGGGGAATGGAACTAATTCGGTCCGGTGACAGTGGACGGAGTGTAAAGTGGTCCAACAATGCCGGTTCTGGCCTCAAACAGACGTCTGTTTGGGTTAAGTGCGAGTAACATGCGTGCATTGCGTGCTTGTAGCTCCACTTGCGTCTTTGATATTAGGTTGGCTTTTGATAATTCTGCCCCGTAGGGTCGTTTGCTCCGCCTACCGGTCCTGTGCTAATGCTTTCCAGGTATCCTGATCCATTTGGAGACGTAGATGAGGTCTACGGGGTGTTCTTCTGACGTCGCTTTGCACAACCTTGCCCACAAAAATCCGTACAGATGCCCTTCCCTCAAAGAAGTTATATTGACAGGCAATCGTCTGCCATTCTTAAAATGTGCTTGAAATGCCTCAGCGAAACAAAGGTTCTCAGTATGTTAATTCTAATAACTGTCGACGCGCTTTCGCCGTCCCTAAGAAATTATTTCGGAAGAACTGGATCGGTTTCCCCACTTGAATTTGCCAAGCGTTGAGGTCTCCATTTTGTGGGGAGACATTTTCAGGACGGGGCCCTGTGAATCCTGAGCATCGTGTCTAGTTGGATACTAAGGCGATTCCAAAATGCGTAGTATGACCTAGCGAAAATTCAGTTGGATTTCGAAATCCAGATCGTAACTTTTTTGCCAAATTCGGTGATGCGTGAGATTTCACTTATCACGTAAGAGACTAGGTCTACCGTTGCGAGACGGTTGCCATTGACATCGGCCGTAAGTTCTGTGTATTAACCAGTCGACAGTGTTAGAGCCATGATGACCGTTTTCTGGGCGTTGACGGTTAAGTCTAAGGTCAGCGCAGATGGTCTATTTCTCACGAAAAGTTCGATTAGGTTGTGGTGTCCAATTTGCAGTCGTCCGTATCATAAGGGATAGGTCGTGTGTTTTGACCTTGCCTGTTTTCGCTGCAATTTGGTAGTTTCTTCTCGGTTTGATAGTTAATTTGAATACCTGGTGGGGACTTACGACAGACGGAGAACATGAGAGTCGGAATAAGCACACTAACTTCACACACCGCAGGCCACTGAGGCTACTTAATGATGTGATTACCAAGCTGTGTCGAAACATTTGGGCTTCATCACTGCTCTGCTGAAATCGCCTTGGCTCACGATGGGGAAGTTGTTTTGCGAGACCCCTGAAGGTGATGTATGCGTTAATCTCCATTCGGAAAAAGTGCGGTCGATGGGACTAGAAGTTTGTCGGCCTAACTTCTCGGATTCTCACCCGAACCCATCATCCTCATTAATTGGTGCGTCTCTTGCACTTGCCAGGCCAAGAAAATCCTGACATCTCCTGTAAGCTGAATAGTTTCAGTCGGTTGGAGGTCATAGATCGCCTCAATAGCCAAAAAAGTTCATTTTTCACTTCTGTCAACGTATCCCTGGATTTCATTTGCCTTCTCGTGCAGCCAACTATTGCGAAGGTAGTTTTACTCTCGACCATGCTGTTGTCCACGCCGACCCTGTGGGTAGATTTGTACAGAGACCAGTTGCTTTGCTTACAGATCGCTAGAGTCAAATTAGTTCTAGTGTTTGCATCTGATTCATACTTGCCTTTATATTTATAGCTGCCCATATGCAACCCAGATACTATGCACATGGTCTCTAAATTGTCTCTAAGGGCTGTCCTTTCAGCAATTTGACTACATAGGGAGGATAAGATGCCTGAGAGATCGTCAAAGCGAGCGCCCAACTACAAAAGCGTTGTAGGGTCCGTGTGTTAAAGAAGACGAAGGCACGATCACTGGGACAGTAGTTTTATTGGCCTGAGCTTTCGAACTCGAACTGAGGTTCATCATCGGAGACTGTTAGAGTGCAGCAACGTATGAAAATTTATATCGCAGGTCCATGCGGGGGGGAGGTTACGTCCGTGGTTAGGTCTGATTTGTGTCGCCTGCTCCACGATGCTCCCCCGGCGTGGTGACGCC